TAAAAGGACTGAAACTTTACGCGAGTTTCCGATTTGCCGCCATCAGATTTGATGCGCCCACGCTATTGTCGTTCAGCGGATGCACGCATGAGCACGCAAAAATGCCCTCCTGTTTTTCAGGTATGTACACCTAATTGCAGTAACGTTGTCATAGAAAAAAGCAAAAAGCAAAAAGCAGAAAGCCAAATAGGAATTAATTAGCCATGCGATTTACATTTGCGTATTTTAATAATTTAACAATTATTTAAGAAGTCATTCACAATAACAAGAAATAATTCTGTAATTCCGCGCTGTACGATTCCGCACATGAAACACTGATGTGTGTAACAAAAGGGTCCTGACAAACGAGGCTTGGTTTGTGGCGCGGGAGAGGAACTGGCGGAGGAGCGCCTCACCCTCTCCGCGATAGAAAGTCCTGCCTACACCCCTGATTTGTTGCTTGAAAATTGTGATCTGATGGTGTTGTGCACTACAAACCATACGCAGACTGGCTTTTCTATTTAGCATAAAACGAAAAGACGCGTCGCGTTCCTGGAATTTACCCCAGGCTATATTTATTGAAAAAAAATGTAGCCATTTTTTCTTTAGTAGTTATCCGATGTACGTTTGTAATTTGAGCACGTTTGAAATCCGCTAGATGAATCAGCCTCGAATTGCATTAGAATGACACCAAGAAACTGATGCAAATGATTTGGCTTTCATATTACGCGATTGATATTCAGCTATAAGCGTGTGTGTCGTGAATGTTGCAAGCAATGATAATTTAATGATAATTTAATGCTAACAAGACGCCTAAAGTCGTTTCCGTGGGATGCGTTGGTCCATGGAAGCATAATGGCGTTCTATCTGAATTTGGAAAAAATAGGGAAACCGGAAAGATGTGTCATGTTATGAGCATCGATGAGTAGGTTACCTGTATGGGTTGGTTTAATGTGCTTATGACTGAATTTAGAGTAGCCTGCGTGGCAGGCTACTATTTCTCCCCAATCCACATCCCCTTATTGCTTCCTCCCTATCCCCTACCCCTTTCGACACCTGCTACGCGAGCTAAATTTATAGTTGTCAGTGGTCGCAAGGATGGAGTTGATCTTGTTTTGATCTATCGCTATGTAGTTATTTTCGTAGCACGATTTGGATCATCCTACTTTTCTTCGAGCCGCATTTTTCCGCCCGTTAAGACTTTCCCTCGTCCCCACTATCTGCCCCTGGGTCTCCGAGGATGGATTTGGATAAGAAAAAGAAGTTATTTTGCATCAAAACAAGGTTTAGCCGTGTAACTTAAATTGTAATGTTAACGGAAACAAGTAATTAATGGAGAACATGCGCATAATGCTCTCTGATTAACCTGAACGGGAACTGTATGTATAAAGATAGGTCATATCTTCAGTAGTAAGTTGCCACGGGTAACTTTTTCAAAGAGAAATAAACGTTGTAGTTTTAGGTTAATGGAACAAAACAAAACAAAACATCCGCTTGCTTTATTCAGGGTCGAACCCAGGGTTACAAAGTTTGATAAAGTTACAATGTTTTAATCCAAGATGAAAGTTTAATATTTCAAGGTGCTCTTGATACGGTTAAAAATTAATTGCAATGTGTTTCCAAGGTCTCAAAGTTAACATAGTTCCAATGATTATCCCTGATCCCAAGGTATAATAAGTTTGCTAAGGTCCTGATCCGTGTCCCATCCAGAAGTCCAATCCATGCCAAAAGCGAGTCGTCGATCGACGAGGACAATATTTTCGCGATTTCACCGTCAATCGTCAAGGGTGCGAGTTGAAATTTACGCGATTTAACCTCCCATCGTCAAGGGGTTTTCGATAAAAAAAAGAAAAAAACTGAACTCTAGCTGTGCTCGGCAAAAACTGGCGAACTCCGAATAGAAAAAATCTATCGGAAATCATGGCCCGCGACCAGACGCTACTATTTGGCTTTTTGCTTTTTTCTATGACAACCTTATTGCAATTAGGTGTAAACGCACATATGTTTATACAGAGATGATGCAATAGACGTGTAAGACTGATTAGACCATTTGAAGTCATGTGTCTTGTATTTATTGAATAATTTATCGCAGATTGATTTGCCAATATCGCATTCATTGTTTGAGGGGTACATATTTTGTTTATGATCGATAAAACCATCGAGAATGCCATTTTTGTCCCAGTGCATACATTCGACATAAAAATTAGTCTTGTTAAGATATGCATGAATATCTTGTGACATTTTGACATCTTTAGGAAGTATAATGTGGTTTTCGTTTTCGAGACTGAATATGTCATTCACGCTTTTAAGCGAAAAAAGTCTTCATGTCGTCCGATCCATTTTAAATCAGACATATATTTTAATAGATCATTACAGCCGCCTTGGTTTTGCTTTGGAAGCGATAAGTTTAAGCTTTTCGTCGGTGATAGGGAAACAATGATGATCTTTACATATATAAACAGGGGTTACATCTGAACAGTTGTTGCTGTGTGTTACAAATTTACGGTATTGAGTAGGGTTGTGTCAGTGAAATGTTTCACCCACGCGGTCTTTGGCTCCGTCACGTGTTTCTGCTCTGCGAACATACGTGCAGGAAGCTAAGAAATATTGGACTCTGAAGTTTCTACTTTGATGATCCTTGTTCTTTATTCCGTTCAAATAAGAGTAAACATGGAACACATCCTAAGCTTATAATTCGATTTTCAAATTGTTGAATGTTAGAAAGAGAAATTATCGAAAACAAACAGCAAAAACGTCAAACATGAAGAGAAAAACCGAAAGTAGCCCGGAAGCTTGTGTAAATTTAAACCGCAAACAACATGGCCATTCCATTTAATATATACACTCTCCCCGTTGATGAAGGACTTTGAAATTTTCCAATTCCTCAGAAAGATACTCTTTTTACCCCAAAACCCTCAGAAAATTTGCCCTACGAGTCTACTAGCCTTAAGAAATTTTTAGCTTTTCTGTTACTTCCCCTCCAAAAATCTGGTATTCAGCCAGCCCTTCAACCTTCAGAAATTCCATGTTTTTGCTTGCCCCTTCAGAAAATTTCGTTACCGGGTGTGTATGTACATTAAATGGAATGGCTCACACTCATGGAGGGCAAAATCTTTGTTATTAAACCTTTTTTATCCAAGCGATTTAAACCCTAGGACAGCTTACTTACCAGTTGAAGAATCTGCTTTGTTATTCACAGCAACATTTGAGTCTAGAACTTCTTGCTTACTGAGTTCAGTGATCGATTCGTTGTTGTCTTGAGGCGCTGAAGGGGATGCGGTGTTAGACGGGCAGAAGGTTGCGCGACATTTTGAACATTTCAATGGCAGCTCCTGATCTTCTTCAAGGACTGCATCGTTACAATGAGGACATTTCATTTTATGCGTTTTAGGGAATTTATTCCCGTCAACGTCGAAAGGTATACATCTCTCATGTAAGAGCGCTCTGTTCCAAGAAAGGCGGAAGTGAGTGGTTTCCTGGAAGCAACGCCTGGATGATATCGTTCCCTGGGGAGGGTAAGTGAGGAATTCCATATATTGGGCGTCGGAGTGCATGGCCCAGGGGGCGGGGGTCATTATCGAGCCAATCTCTTTACATAAAGAACTTCTCCGAGCCGAAAATAATCGGCTTACAATTGAGCCAAATTACAAAAAAATCAGTGTATTCAAAAAAGTATGATAGTTCAAGAATCTGTTAAATCAAATTGTCCTGGGGAATAAGAATGGGAAATCAAGAATAATAGGAGCTCCTGTTAACAAATAAAAACTTTTGAAAATTCACGTCTCACGAGAAGAATGATAGCCCAAATCACCCTTCACGAAAAAAAGTATAGGGGACTATTCTCATTCGTATAAAAGCCGCCGCGTGACGATTTAATCAACTAGATTACTGCGTGCTCCCTCGGGAAGCAGTCTATTGGTCCTTTACGGTCCCCAGGGAAATTCCCTAGGCCTTTTATACGCCCTAGCAAACAAATAGTCCAGTTTCGAATTAAAAATTACCGCTGAATACAAACATTTAGGACACATTCATACAGGGTTAGCCTCGACGTAAAGTAAAATATTCAGAAATTCTGACAAGTAAGTGTTTGAAATTTGAATATACACAATAGACAGAGTAATAAACAGGTCTTTTTCTCGTTGGAATTTGTGAATATATTACTTCAGATGGAGGCTAAGGCTGTAAAAAATGTGTCTTCACTTCTTTAATTCAGCAGTCACAGCGAACTCGAAAATGGACTATTCACCGTCTTCTCGCAAGTCTACTCTACAACGGGCAAGCCAGTTTCATTCTTCCGCAACGCGACCAGCGCCGCTGAAGCTCTTTCATGGCTCTCGTCCCTTATTAACCAGACCCAGCTGATGCGGTAGCTATTGCTTCGACAGAACCTCAACCAGCACCAACACCATCCACCTAAGTATCATGTTTTAATGTCTCGCTTCCCCCTTTTCTTGTCAATTTGTCACATACGTGGCGTTTATCTTTTTCACCATTCTGTTCTGGAGTTTGTTTACGTTAGCGCTTTTAGGCGTCTGCGCGACGTACCAGAGGTAGGGCGACCCTTATTTGATTATTGTCGCGTCTTTTTCGCCTGTTACAGTAGAACGAAAACGAGCCGGAACATATGTACGTTGGCGCTTCATGGCGTCTGTGAAACGTAAAGGAGAATCTCAACAGTGCAGTTCAGTGGAATGTATTTAATTACGTTGGCGCCCTTCGGCGTCTGTGAAACGTATAATGAAGAGAAAGACATTACGTTGACGCTTCTTAGCGTTTGTGAAACGTAAAGGAGGATCCTAGCAGCTATACTCAGTGGCATGTTTTTAATCAGTTACGTTGGCGCTTTTTGGCGTCTGTGAAACGTACAATCAAGGGATAGACATTACGTTGACGCTTCTTAGCGTTTGTGAAACGTAAACGAAGATCTCACCAACGCAGTTCGATGGCATGTTTTTAATTTCGTTGGTGCCCTTTAACGTCTGTGAAACGTACAATGACGAACAGACATCTTTGGCTTTACTTCGCGACCGTCCATCGTACATTTGTCTACAGTCTTTGATGCTTTATGGCATTTTACGTGTATGTATTGAAAGATTTTAGAATAAGGTGGCCAGTTGTTTATTTTTCCCGTTCGTTTCCTACTCATTGTATTGTCAACATTTTGTATAATTTCGGCACATTGCATTGTCAGCATACTCCGTGCCCCTTCGCAGCTGTTCCCTTGAGATGTCTCACCTTTTATATTGTGTTTATTCTTCTTCACCTATTACACTTGTGATCTTAGAGGTCACATAGCAGAAACAGAAGGTGACGTAACTCCTAGATATCAGTAACCACATTCTCTTTACTCTAGCGTGCAGCCTTAATAAATTTGCACGAGTTTCCTTGTATATTATATTTTTCTTTGGCTTTTGCTTCCTACATTTCCTTACCCCACACTTGAGTCGTGCTCAGGGGGGGTTCCTAAACACACCCCTCATCCAGTCTTCGGACGGTGTCCTGACTCGACTCAACTGTGGGGTTCCCTCCCAGCCTCCCTCTTTCGTAGGGTCTTTCCTTCTTTTTATCTCCTCCCATTCGGATTTCTCTAACCGGGTTACACATGCTGCAAGCCACCCTCAATTGAATCCGTCACATCTGGGAGGCATTACGCCAACACTGCCCATCTCTCTAAGGGAGTTTTTCTGGGTTTTTCTGAGTTTCGGAGAGATTTGACTGTACTGCAAGTTAATGAGGTATTCTGCAATAATTTACCGTCTTTTGGATGAGTCTATAGCACCCCTGGTGTCGGACAAAATTTTTCACCCATAACTTATCCATCAAAAGGCATAAGGTGGCTTTTATGCGAATGTGAATTAGGGCCTCTTCATATGAGCCCGGTTGACCGGGCTGGCCCGGTTTCCGAGATCTCGCCTCACCTCTAAATCCTTTGTAAAATTTTCGATGTGTTCATATGAGAGGGCGGGCTGGCTCGGTTCCCGAGATCTCGGTTTTTCCAACCGAGATCTCGGTAAGCGGGCTGGAAATTTTGCCATATGAACACCTCATCCCGGTTACCGGGATGAACGGCGGGATGAATTCTGGCGGTCCGGATGGTATCGTCTTGCATTGCCTGCTGTATTTTCCACATCATAAGCATCCCATTTAACTGCAGTGATACAGCTTTTAGAGTTACCGATGCTAAGATAGGCCCAAAAGTTAAAATTTTTGTGTTTCGCTATGTTTGCTTTGTTTCCTAAATTTGGCGCCAGAACTCGTACCCAGGATCTTTGATCTTTTCTCATCTCGGAAACCGGGCTGAAATTTCTCATATGAACCCAAAGCAAAATTCATCCCGGTAACCGAGCCAGCCCGGTCAACCGGGCTCATATGAAGAGGCCCTTAGTTACTATTCTCATTCGTATAAAAGCCGCCGCGTGACGATTTAATCAACTAGATTACTGCGTGCTCCCTCGGGAAGCAGTCTATTGGTCCTTTACGGTCCCCAGGGAAATTCCCTAGGCCTTTTATACGCCCTAGCAAACAAATTCACCGTTTCTTCTCGCAAGTCTACTCTACAACGGGCAAGCAAGTTTCCCCACCCTCCTCCCCTTCAGCGGCGCTGGCAAATTTTCTCTATCAGCCCACCTTATGCCTTATGCAAAATTTTTCACCCATAACTTATCCATCAAAAGGCATAAGGTGGCTTTTATGCGAATGTGAATTAGTTACTATCTATACCTCAAGCGAATGTATTGGCAACTGGTAACTGAATGAGCCTGTCTACTTACTGAGGGGTTTTTACGTACAAAGCAGGGTTTTAATGAGATGGTTTGTCGGTTTTGGGTTACAGTGTGTTAGTGCATAAGAGGTCACGCTTCCTAAGATCCCTCCAAAATCGTTTCCACTTGTCTGACAAGTGCCTCGCTAAATTTTTTCTTTTCTCTTACAGTGTAGGATTTTGCTTTCACTGTTTACTGTGCACACTAAACGATGGACTCAAAATCCTACAAACTCGTTTAAAATACCATCTCTCAAGCAAAGGAGCCATTGATGTAAGGTAATATAACATTTATTTAGCATTGAACCATGCCAGGAGCCCACATGCAAAAGCAAGATAGCCTAAGGCTATCTTGCTTTTGCTTGATCCTCGCCCACCCCTCGACCACTCGCTCGGCCGAATTCACTAGTGGAATCACGCGCGATTTGAACCAGCTCCGATTTTGGGGGGTGTGGCGAAAAGACGTGCGCTCCTGACGCCGCAAATTATAAAATCGACCTTGCAAGTCTTCTCTCTTTTTCTTCAGATTTAGTTAGGGAAGTGTATGCGCGTGGTCATATTTGAGTCTCGCGAGTTTCGCTCTACGGACTAAGAAAAAGGTTTTGAGAGGAGGTATTTGTTTTCAAATGCTCCTGAGGAGAAATGCAATTGTCCAAAATCTTTGAAAACAATAACTTATCCATATCTCGCAGCAAACAGAGTGTATTAAACAAAGATATGAATATATGAAAATCATACATGTGAACTGCGGATAGGGCTTTCCTCAAGTTGCTTGGCAACTTTTTGGCAACTTCTGGTATTTCGCGCAACTTTTCGCATTCTGAGCAATTTCTCTAGTTATCTTCTAATTCTGAGATATCGGAGCAGCTTTTCACAATGTTTTAGTAGACAATTTATAAATTCCCTGTAAAGAAAAGATAACAGCTGCTAGGTCATCGATTTTTAGAGTAAATTCAAAATGGTGGAGAAAGATTCACACTCGACTGACCTGACTGTCTCATTCAACAATTAGTTACCAAGTTAGCCCTTCATTTATGGTCAGTAACTGTTTTGAACAAATTTTGAAGCAATTTGAGGAACATGAGTGTCTTGTGTCAACATCTAAAACATTTGGGAACGCTTTTCATGGCGCTGTAGCTGTAAACGTTACCGTGGAGCCTGGGAAAAAGAGAATGCTTACTTTGGTTTTGGGGTGGTTCTATCCCAACGGAGATTTCACGGGTGTGCTTTACGCATTAACAATTATCGCTCCGCATAAAGTTTAAAACGCACCATAAGAAAGAAATCGTAAATTTATGCAGGGTAGACCCTAACGAAACCATTTCAACAGCAAAAAATGAAAACAGCTGTCTTGGGGAAGATATTGAATTGATACTTGTAGTATCGACGACCTATTAATGAAGCCGTTTAACTGTGTACACCTTTTAAATAAATCCTGCCTTCTATTGCAAAAAAATTGCATTTATTCCTAAATGATACCATTTTGTGGACACTATATTTGCAGATATGCTAATTTGAGAGACATTTCATTCACAAAGAATGTTGACTGAGACCAGCTTCTCCTCTGCACTGGAACCACATTCTTGTTTAATGCATCAGTATCTGCTTGATAATTCTTCCCATGTACAACTTACATAAGGGGTTCATCTGGATACAGTAAAAAGCTCTCACCAGTAATAACAGACAAATTCACCCATCCATTTGTGTCATGTTTGTTATGGCATCCCAACTCATTTGGGTCCTTTAGTAGCAGTATTTCTTTTTTGAGGAAACAGCATTATATGCACCTCTCTAATAAACTCCCTGCCTTATCAGGCTTCGAAGGTGAACAAACATCATCAGTTAGATTTATGCTGTGATGGCCATTCTCTGTTTTGAATGGATCACTACTGTCATCAAATATATAAATTGCAATAAGAAATCGATTGTGGAACACAGGAGCTGTCAAGAGTCGCTTCAAAACAGTAGCTCAGGAAAAATCTCTGTATATTTCAGAGGTGAAGAAAAATGAAAGTATTGTTTGTTTTTTCGGGGTGCATTTGTTTTGTCTACAAGTGAGCTTATGAAATGCTCAAGTGATTATTAGTGCATAATCAATTGTAATTGCTGCTGTCTCAGACTCTATCCATTCTTCATTTCCTGTAGAATATATATTATATATTTTTCCACGAAAACTTTCGAAAAACTGTAAAAAAAATACCCTAGATTTCATGTTTTTGTGGCATATATAAACGCGTATCTCCACGATCAGTTTAAACATGAGACAATTATAACGTGCTAATAAATAAACCTCGCGTGGTAATTTTTTTTTCGCTTTCCTTAAATGCAGGAAGAAATGCATCTTTGCCAGTGAAAATCAGATTTATACAGGAACAGTGATTTTTGGCGTTGAGTCTTTAAAGTCTTTAAAAGATCACGAAAACCTACTACTGAAAAATCTACAACTGAAAACCCGCGTAGAAAACGTCCGATTTTTGTCATGGAGAACATTTTTTGAAGGAAAGTCGGTATTCAAAGCACCGACGAAATGGCCTTTAAAAGGACTGAAACTTTACGCGAGTTTCCGATTTGCCGCCATCAGATTTGATGCGCCCACGCTATTGTCGTTCAGCGGATGCACGCATGAACACGCAAAATGCCCTCCTGTTCTTTCAGGTATGTAAACACACATATGTTTATACAGAGATGATGCAATAGACGTGTAAGACTGATTAGACCATTTGAAGTCATGTGTTTAAGCTTTTCATCGGTGATAGGGAAACAGTGATGATCTTTGCATATATAAACAAGGGTTACATCAGAACAGTTATTGCCGTGTGTTACAAATTTACGGTATTGAGTAGGGTTGTGTCAGTGAAATGTTTCACCCACGCGGTCTTTGGCTCCGTCACGCTTTTCTACCCTGCGAACATACGTGCGGGAGGCTAAGAAATGTTGGACTCTGAAGTTTCTACTTTGATGATCCTTGTTCTTCATTCCGTTCAAATAAGAGTAAACATGGAACACATCCTAAGCTTATAATTCAATTTCCAAGTTGTGGAATGTTAGAAAGAGAAATTATCGAAAACAAACAGCAAAAACGTCAAACATGAAGAGAAAAACCGAAAGTAGCCCGGAAGCTGGTGTAAATTTAAACCGCAAACAACAGGGCCATTCCATTTAATATACAACCCCCCCCCCCCCCCCCCCCCCACCCTCCCCGTTGATGAAGGACTTGAAATTTTCTGATTCCTCAGAAAGATGCTCTTTTTACCCCCAAACCCCAAGAAAATTGGATCATTTTACGTTTCTGTGAAACTACCCACCTACCCCTCCCCTAAGCCAACATTTTGCCCTAAGTAAGAACTAAGTGTTAATGTTGGTTTAGGGGAGGGGTAGGTGGGCGGTTTCCCAGAAATGACCCAGAAAATTCGCCCTACTAGTCTACTAGCCTTAAGAAAGTTTTGCTTTTTTGCTCCTTACCCTCAGAAAATCTGGCCTTAAATCTTACAACCTTCAGAAATTCCATGTTGTTGCTTACCTACATTAAATGGAATGGCTCACACTCGCTGAGGGCAAAACCTTTCTTATTAGACCTTTTTTGTCCATGCGATTTAAACTCTAGGACAGCTTACTTACCAGCTGAAGAATCTGCTTTGTTATTTACAACAACATTTGAGTCTAGAACTTCTTTCTTACTGAGGTCAGTGATCGATCCGTTGTCGTCTTGACGCGCTGAAGGGGATGCGGTGTCAAACAGGCAAAACGTTGCGCGACATTTTGAACATTTCAGTGGCAGGTCCTGGTCTTCCTGGTTACAGCGAGGACATTTCATTTTATGTGTTTTAGGGAATTTATTCCCGTCAACGTCGAAAGGTAGACATCTCTCATGTGAGAGAGCTCTGTTTTATCAAAAGCGGAAAATGAGTTGGTTCCTAGAAGCAAAGCCTGGATGATATCGTTCCTTGGGGAGGGTAAGTGGGGGATTCCATAAATTGGGCGTCGGAACAGGACAATTGCACGATGACGTCATTTTACTACAACTACCAGAATCCTTGAGCGGGATTGACAAATTTAAAACAAAATGAATTCGGTAGTTGTAGTCAAATATCGTCATCGTGCATTTGTCCTAATGGCCCAGCGGAGGGGGGGGGGGGGATGTCTCCAAGGAAATCGGTGGTTCGGTCCGCCTGCCAGTATGACGTCACGTCTCGCGTCAGTGACTTTCAAAATGGCTAACAAAGTGTCGAAGAGACGGATAAGAATTTCTAATTTATCACTGAAATACTGTTCCGATTTCTTGGATTTGGAGATTTTAAGGTCCCTATTGTCATAGAAAACTAGAATTTTAGGTATGGGACTCCTCGTTGGCTCTAGTGGCGGGAAATTCTTTCGGGAGAAAATGAGAGATTTCAAGGAGAGAAAGAGAGAAGACAATCAATAGAGGAAAGGAGTTTTTGTTTCTTTGATTACAACATTCCAAGGTTTTAAAAAAGCTTTGTACGTATTGGGTTTTAAAAGTGAACAACGGATGAGCGAAAACTGCGCGCATCATTGCGCAGGGAATGTATCATGCCCTTAATATGTTGTACAGGTGGTGACACGGTTGGACGGGTCACCATAACGGGTCCCCGTACTATCCAGGGCGTTTTCTAACACCTCTGTGGTATATATAATGGAATAAGAAAGAAAAGGATAAGGTTCTTTCACACCTAATTGAAATTGCCAAGGTTTATGGAGCCTTGATACATGTAAGACAACTTATTAAGATTTTGATCATGGTGACACGATTGTTCGCCGAAAGAAACTTACGAATATCTTAATTGAATTAATGTACGGTGACCCGTGTACACGTCGAGTAGAACACTTTTTTGAGGTTTTAAGGATAGGTATTGTCCTCGTTTGATATTATTCATGTTTTGTACATTTTTGGCACAGTAGTTTGTTTTATAGCTATTCAGGAAGGTATATGTTTGGGGAACCCCTGGAACCTTCGCTTGGCTACGCCACTAAGAAGGAGCCGAATACTCCCCCTGAGGCAGATCATTGGCGCAAGATAACAGTAGCCGGGCTGCTAGGTCATCGGCTTTTAGAGGAAATTCAAAATGGTGGAGGAAGGTTCACACTCGACTGACTTGACAGTCTCGGGTAAAGAAGGCCATTTAACGATTTTATTGGCTCATTACATTTTTGGGTTATAATTCCGGACAAAGTTATTTAGCAACGCTGGTTACACCACAAAATTGCAAAAAAATGCTTAGAAATCTTACTTTTGTTTGACAATTTGCATATTTTAGCATCCGGCCAACTTTTTGAGGAATTACGGGAAAGGTTTTGGAAAATCTCGAGCAACTTGTGGAAAACCCTAACTGCCGAGTGAAGAATTATTTCTTCTTTTCGCAACCGCAAAAGTTGCGTCTATCAATGCGATGATCTACTTTCAAATAATTCTTCACTCCGCAGTTCACACATATGATTTTTGTATTAAACAAAAGAGGCAAGGCTGATTTTACAGTCGGAAATATATATATATATTTTTTACCAATATTTCGGAAGGCACGTCCTTCCTTCTTCAGGGTCTTACATACAGTGATGGGGTTAAGCCAAGACGTTACAATTTGAAATAAAGAACAGCGTGCACTGAAATGATACTATAATTACATGTGAAAATTTAAGTAAGAAAAAAGTGAACGTTAATGTATAATTTTAGCAGCGGACGCGTGAACGAGCTCATGAAAACCACACTTGTCGGTCTTGTCGAAACTTGTATGCAAAAAAAATA